ATTGTTGCTACCTATGAGGATATCATCCATATAAAGCAACAAAATAACAAGTGAATTTCCAACTCAAAATCTGAAGTAAACACACTGGTCGAACTGGCTCCTAGTGAAACCAATGTGCACCATGAACTTGTCAAATCTTATGTTCCACTGTCGAGGAGATTGTTTCAGGCCCTAGAAAGACCTATTCAGTTTACACATATAATCTTCCTTATCCTTTTCTGCATACCCTTCAGGTTGACACATCAGGATCGTTTCGTCTAGGTCACCGTACAAAAATGTTGTCTTCACATCCATTTGCTCAAGCTCCAGGTCGAACTTCGCCACCATGGCTAACAATATTCAAATGGATATATGCTTTACAGCAGGTGAGAACACATCATTAAAGTCGACATCTTCTTTCTGAGTGAACCCCTTATCAACCAATCTTGCCTTAAAGCATTTCGACATCACTCGTTTGGTTCCTTCTTTGACCTTGAAAATCCACTTACAACTGACTAACCTTGCTCTTGCAGGTTTCTCAATCAGCTCCCAAGTGTTATTATCACGAAGGTATTTCATCTCGTCATCCATGGCTTTTCACCATTCAGTCTTGTTTTGACTCCTCATAGCTTCCTTGTGATCTCTAGGTTCTTTCTCAAGTACCTCACTTGCAGAGATTAAGGTAAACACTATAAGATCTGCATAACCAAGTCTCTGAGGTGGTTTAATGACTCTTCTTGACCTATCTCTTGCCAGTAGGTAGTCATTGATAGTTTCCTAAGTTTCTTCAGCATCTTGCTCTTCTTCTTCGACTTCATCTGGGTTATGCACTTCAGCATCATTATGCTCCACCTCAACAAAAATCTCTACCTGTTCCAGCGCTTCTTCAAAGATTTCTGCACTTCGACCAGCATCACCAGTTTTCTTGAACGCGATCTCGACTTTGTTGAAAACTACATCACGAATTGTGATACATCTTCTGTAACCTGGTTCTAGGCACCACAACCTATAACCCTTGACTCCCTAAGGATATCCAAAGAACATGCATCTCAGAGCTCTAGGTTCGACCTTGTCTTGCCTAATGTGAGCATATGCTAAATAGCCAAATACTCTCAGTTTGTCGAGATCAGGTGGTTGACCCGACCAAACTTCTTCAAGTGTCTTCGTTCCCAAGGGAGTTGAGGGACATCTATTTATCAGATAAGCTGTTGTCGAAACAGCCTTCACCAAAAACAACTTCTTCAATCCAACACTAACCAACATGCATCTAACCCTTTCAAGAATTGTTCGATTGAATCTCCCAGCTAAGCCATTTTGCTGAGGAGTGCCTGTTACAGTCTTATACCTTGCAATCTCAAACTCGACACAATAACTGTCGAAAGCTTCATTGCAGAACTCAAGGCCATTGCCAATTCTCAACCTCTTAACCTTTCTTCCAGTTTGAGTTTCAACCAGAACCTTCCAACTTTTGAAATTCTCAAAAGTTTCATCCTTAGTCTTCTGAATGAATACCCATAATTTTCTAGAATAGTCATTAACTATGGATAAAAAATATCTTGCACCTGCATGTGAAGAATTCTTTGCAGGGCTCCAAAGATCAGCATGGATGTAATTAAGGGATCGATGTGTTCTTTGTTTACCTTTGTTAAACTTCGCCCTACAGGATTTTCCAAATACATAAGGTTCACAAAACCCCAACTTCTCGACTTTGTCACCACCTAGCAGATTATGTTTTCCCAGTTCGACCAGACCTCTTTCGCTAACATGGCCCAATCTCATGTGCCATAATTTTGTCTTCGACACTGGTTTCGTGGATGAAAAATCTGCTGAACCACTTACAACCTCATCCTCAAGGGTATACAAGCCTTGTTTCTTCACGCCTCTCAATACTTCCTTTGACCCTTTCATGACTTTTAGGATACCTTTCTCTTCTTTGAAGACATATCCTTTCTTGTCGAATTTACCAAGAAAAATTAAATTCCTCTTAAGGTCAAGTACATACCTAACCCCAGTCAATAGCCTTATTGACTTATCATGGAGCTTGAATCTTACAGATCCAATACCTGCAATCTTGCAAGCTTTATTGTTTCCCACCAGCACTAACCCACCATCTTGATCACATAATTCTTCAAACACATTCTTGTTTGGAGTAATATGCCAGGTACATCCAGAATCCATAATCCACTCTTTGCAAGAGTTGTTGTTCGACACCACAAGGACATCAAATGATTCATAATCATCTTGCACAATAGCTATATTGCCATTGTCCTTACCTCCGTGATTATTCAGGTGCTCAGAACACATCTTTCTTGTGTGACCCTCCTTCTTATAGTGATAATACTTAATCCCAGAAATATCACCACCATAAGACTTCCGCTGAGTTTTACCTTTCTTCTTCTCAAACCTACCATCTTTCTTCGAGGATTTCCCTTTCACGGACAATCCTTCACCAACTAATGATGATGGTTTCTGCTTCTTTCTTTTGTTCAAAATTTTCAAATACAAGGTTCCTTAAACTTATTCAAAGGTCAGGGACTCTCTTCCATACAAGAGGGTTTCTTTGAAGTGAGCATGTGACTTAGGTAAAGAACACAACAATAACAATGCTTGATCTTCGTCATTGATGGTAACATCAATATTTTCAAGATCAAGAATCAGCTTGCTGAACGTATTCGGCTGCTCCGTCAACACTTTATTTTCATTCATCTTGAATGAATACAAAGCTTGCTTCAAGTACAAACGATTCACTAATGACTTTGTCATATACAATCCTTTGAGTTTCAGCCAAACACCAGCTATCGTCGTCTCCTTTGAAATCTTTCTGAGAACCTTACCAGCAAGACTCAGAACAATTGCACTGTGGGCTTTCTCGATCATCGTTGTCTTTTCCTTCTTCGTCAATGCAACATCCATGACACCTTCTCCCTTTAATGCTTCTAGCAAATCATATTGAGCAAGAATGACTTGCATCTTCAAATGCCATAAACCGAAATCATTAACTCAGGTGAACTTATTTATTTTAAACTTTGCCGACGACATGTTTTCCACGCTCACCACACCAGTTTGTTGTGATCACAAATGATACTTTTCAACAAATAAAGATTGAAAAACGGAGTTCTTGGGTGAATAATGAAAACTGTTAGAATAAAGAGAGAAAGAAGAGAGGATAAAGAAGAAATAAAAAGAATGATTAAGACAAATTGTTTACTATTTACTTTCTCATTTATGATTTACAAATGATTACAAATGAATAACAATTGACCTCACTCAACAACCTGAGCGATCTAGCCTATTTATAGACTAACTAGCTAACTTACAATATAAGCTAACTAAACAATTGGATCTTTAACACAAAGCTCAATTTGACATAATAAGTCAACAATAAATTTCGACGTTACATACTAGAACTAGCTTCGACTAAAGTATGTAACCCTCCGACATCAGCATGTGACCCAACTTCAACTTCATACTTGTCTCCTATCGAAACATATGAAACCTATTTCTTGACAGAGTTAGAGTTCGACTCAAAATCTCACAAATTATAATTAAATTCTCTTTATTCATTTAATTTCAAAATTCATCATTTTTTTTGTTAGGTTTTATTAGTAAGACTTTACTATACTTCTCGAGCATCTATGATAAAACATCACAAATGAATTCAAACTCGTCTCAACTATTGTTGAGATCTAAAACAAATTTTAAGCATGCAATTTTATCATATTAATAAATTTAAGTATGCTAAAAAATATGTTAAAATTGCATATTTAGAAATTATTTTTTAATTTAATTTGCATGTTTAGAATTTTAACATATTTTTAATTCGCATGTTTAGAATTTTTCAATTTTAGCATATTTTTAGTAGAAAATAAACTGTAAAAGTAATTTTTAAAATTTTTTTATTTAACTTTTAAAAAATCTTTAGTATTTATTAAATTATCATAGTCAATCTTATTTTATTGTTTCATTATTTATTTATTTATTTATTTGTAGTTTTGAATAATCTAGTTCACATTTTTGAATTAATATTTTATATTTTAAAATAAAAAGAATAAAACACTAGAAATCACAATGTACAAATTAAATCACTACAAATACAAAATAAAGTTTAGTTTTTGTAATGTTATTTTAAATATTTTATATTTTATTTACTTATTTTTCTGATACACCAATATAGTAATAGTTCATAAATTTAAAATCTAGAAAATTAAAAATATAAAAATATATTAAAATTAAAAATTAATATTAAACAACTATCTAGTCAAACTAACAAACATATTATACGAACAATTAAATTAACAAATGAACATTATTTTAAAAATAAATTAAATACACATTACAAACAAATAAAATATAATCTAAAGTACAAACTTATCAATTACATAAAAAATTAACAAACAAAAATCAAAGAATAAAGTGTACATTATTATAATTTCTAAAAACAATAAAAGTGTAATCATTATAAATTTCTAAAATTATAAATTAAAATTAATACTAAACAACTATGAAAAAATTTGAATTCAAACAATAAATCGCATGACACAAACGTTATGTAGAAGATAAAGAAAAAGTCTTCAAAGTCAAACTCAAAAATGGTAATATGGCAGATGTCACTCAGAAAAACAAAACAAAACAGTTTGCACATTTCCGTAAAACATCCTCAAACTGGAATAACCACGCTACCGTGTGACGTGTAAAGCACGCACTATTTTACAACGGAAAGCCACGTCGAACTCATCACATAAACCCCTAAAATTCCCCTTAATTACCAAATTGCCATTCAGCATAGTCATCATATACTTTGCCTTTCCACTCAACTCTGTGTACATTAATAAAAATATCAAACCGTTATGAATAAACCTATCCAAAATTTCACCGTGTTCCGCGAAGCACAAGAATAATAGACCATTTTAACTGATGCAACACCATAATTTTTCTCTTAATATAATTTTTTTATTTATTTATCCATTTTCGCTATTAACCTTCTCCGTTAAGGTTTTGTTTTGTTACTCTCATTCCTTTCCATGACCATGGGTAAACCAAAAGCTCCGAGACGAACCCTAGAGTCATACTCAGTCAAACACATGAACAAACCTATTAAAGGTAAAATTAAATTTTCGAAATTATTTTCTTCGCTAAGTTTTCTTTTTGATTTCTTAATTCGCTTTATTTTTTTGTTATTAGCTGGGGATTGTGTGCTTATGCGTCCTTCTGAACCGTCGAAACCGTCCTATGTGGCTAGGATTGAAGGGATCGAAGCTGATTCACGAGGTGCTAATGTGAAAATTCATGTCCGTTGGTATTATCGACCAGAGGAGTCTCTTGGTGGCCGGCGTCAGTTTCATGGTTCGAAAGAGGTTTTTCTCTCCGATCACTTTGATGTTCAGAGTACTGATACGATTGAAGCAAAGTGTATTGTTCACAGTTTTAAGAGCTACACTAAACTTGATGCCGTTGGTAATGACGATTTCTTCTGCCGCTTTGAGTACAATTCCGCTACTGGTGCTTTCAATCCAGATAGAGTTGCCGTGTGAGTTGATCCATTTGACAATATATATCTTTTATGATTGTGTAATTTTATTCTTTTAAGTTATAATTGTATTTTGAATGTAATTGCAGTGTTTAATCTTTTTTTTATTCTGCCGCAGCTAACAAGTAGCAATTAAATTAGGTTTGGATTTAGATTGTGTTTTGGTTAATGACGTCTAACAGGTTTTATTTGATTGATGTCTGAAGATTATGGTTAAATTATGTTGTTATTGTAAAAAAGAATTCATTTTTTTAATGGGTTGTTGAATGTAAAGTGTTCTTGCACTAAAATACCAAAATACCAAGTCAGGCAGGGTGAAGAATGGGGTTTAAGTGATTATACTTGGGGTTTAACAATAAGGGTTTTAGGCCTTGAATTATGCTTATGATTGAAGCATTCTAATTGGATGATTCCACCGTCCTTATCCTCAATTCAGCTTTGCGGTAAACCTTACTTGGAACTTCTTATCAAGTTGTTTTTGAATCATTCTGATGGCTATTCTCTTGGAGAGTTTTTTTTACCTTACCTGATGTTGTTTATTGGGCCGAAGACTTAATTTTGAGATGTCCTTAGGTTGGGCTTTCTAAGTCATACTGTTACATATAGTAAATAAAGACTTTTTTTTTGTCACAATGAAGAAGTTGTGGGATCTTTATCTGGATTATGGCTCATGTATTGTTTATTGATCAAAATTTTCATGGCAGGTATTGTAAATGTGAGATGCCCTACAACCCAGATGATCTTATGGTTCAGTGTGAGGGCTGCAGTGATTGGTATGTTGAATACTCTCTAATTTATCTGTCTGATTTTTCAGAACTCTAGTATGTCCGGTTTTGTGGATATTTTGCATTGCCCTCGTGCGAAGAAAAAAGTTTTTGAGTCAGCATTATTTTTCCTTGTGCCAGACTCTTTGATTAATTTGGACTAGTCTTTCATCGATATTTTGTGTTGCTTAATGAATGATACAATTCTTAATAGCAGCTCATAGATTTAACTATTTTTTGTGTGAATGATTTACTGTTATGCTTTGGTTATTTCTGGCATACTGCTTCTGTCTAATTGTTATTTAATGCGTGCTTTCGATACTCTTTCCCCCAAACCTATTTTACCTTGTTCAGCTGATTCAGTGCTGTTATGCATGCATAGATTCATGCTTTCTAGTGAGGTTAGGTTGTTAAGTAATTTAGCTTTATTGGAATCTCATCATGCTTACATGGGAAGTAGTTCCTTACACACATATTATGGCAATCTAAGCACTAATGAAGCTAAATTTGTGCATACTGTACTATTAATTTGTAGATTATCAAATCTATCATATAAAATTTGCGCAGTTAGTATACCTAAAGGAATATAAATGGTATAGAATAAAAGAATCACTGCTAATTTAATTCATATTTTATGCATTTGATTGATGTCTTTTTAGTATTTCATTGAATAAGTGTCATGAACATTCACATCTATGTTTGCAATTCACCTGAATGGGAATTTTTTGCCAAATTCTGCCGCATGTCTCATAAATAGCTATCCAAGTAGATTTTAGAAATATGCTCAAAAGAATTCCCTCTTAGAAAAAGAAGAAGATGATGAAGATGATTCATTTTCTTTCGTATTCTAGGAGGCGAATCTTTTTTGTAATTATTCCAGTAGCAACCCAAGTAGTAGGACATACACAGACTAATTACATAATGGCCTTAGACAGATAGATTCTGCGTAGTGACAAACTTTACCAAGTTATCCCAACTTATTAAAATCTTGATTACAAGAGAACATCAATTTAACTAATCTTAAATTTCTTTATTCTCATGATTGTGGTCATTGATCACAAATTTCGCCGTTCTACAAAACTAACTGAAAACTAGCCTCGTGAATTATGACATTTTTTTTTGCTTATTTTTATGGGAGACATGATCAATCTGGAAGGTTTTAAAGATCAATCTCGAGGCTATTAGTTTGCTTGCTAAATCATGTTAAATAGAGAAGATTTGAGTTTTTGATACATAAAAAATAGCTTGTTTTGTAACAGAGGCCTTTATAATGTTGATATCACAGACTTTGAGTGGATGTATTCTTCTGCATAATCTTTGTGATTCAGGTTTCATCCGGCTTGTATAGACATGACTGTAGAGGAAGCCCAGAGACTCGACCACTTCTTTTGCGAAGGTTGTTCGGTCGAAGGTCAGAAACAGTTGCAAAATGCTCACTCTGCTACAAGACCCTCGGATACAAAGGTACTATTTACTTTTGTTTAATATTTTTAGAGCGCATTTGTTTTCAGCACTTAATACGTGCCCGACCACTTTAAATCTTTAATATCTTCTTCATCTGTTGTCGATTGCAGGTGGATACTAAACGGCGTCGAAGGTAAAGTGATAGAATATAGGTAGAACTATAATGGAGGGGACCTTGCTTTTCTAATCCTGGGTAGGAGATGAACAAACTGGAAGACAATGGTATTTAATAGTAAAACTGTAAAAGTGTTTCTCATTGAAGAGACTAATTTAAAAAAGTTTGTCAATGGTTTGAGTATGCATCTTGTGTTCCCTTGGAAGTGGAGGATGTGTTTCTTTTGTCATGTAATTATTATGTGAGGTAGATTTTCCATCAATCCCTTTCAGGTCCTTGCTCTTACTTGGACTTTTGTAAAGTAGCTTGACTTATTTACAACTAGTAGCCACTACTGCTGCTACTCTTTAGTTAAAGGATCATGACTTTCTATTCTATGGTGATGTCATTGTGTTGGCAATTGGCCTGAGCAAATGGATCAAAACAAAAGTAATGGGAAATAAATAAGAAAAAGAGCCTTTAATAATCAATTTATAATAATGGTAATTTATTCCACTAAGTGGTACCAAATATGTGTAGTACTCCATTGTTTTTTATACACGAGTCATTTTTTTAATATTAATTTTTTAGGACGATAGCGGTGCTTGAATTCGGAACTTTTCGGGTCTGTTCAGGAGTTTGGAGGGGAAGATAGGGGAGGATTTTCAAAAAATAGAAGAATTGTGGGGAAATTTTTTAAGGATTTTGATTGGAAGAGTTAAAGATTTGTTTTTATTTATAACGCAAAAAACCCTTTGATTTGGAGGAATTTAAGATTTGTATTGAATTAGAGTTTTGGAGGGTTTGCATAAATTTTTTTCAAATGAATTTTATGTTTTTATAGTATTTTATGATTTAGTGTTAACATTCTTTTATAAACAAAAATTTTGAATATGGTTTGAACCCCTTCAACATTAAGTTTAGATTTTGTCCATATGTAAACTTGAAAGATAGATTTGATGTTTTTCTTTTTTATAGAAGTTGAAGATAGTATTGTGATAAATGTTATGAATTGGATAGTGCTGCTTTTTTAAATAAATTAGAAAATTTTCCTAGAAAACAACAGTGATGTGCTTATGCAAGTGTAGTATATTGAATTTTGAGTGAGATATGTAGCACTTAGATTATCACCACTAGTGGAAGATGTTATGGAAGACAAATTTGATACAAGATAATTCAACAACAGTGATGGATAAAGATCTATATTCAGCCTATCTAAATGACTTAGCTGATTTGAATCCTCTCTTTTTTATATATCATATCTTCTCTCATGTTTTTAATTTAACGGTTCAGAATTTATAATGAATAATTAAATAAAAAAACAAAAATAAATTACTTATCTATTTTTTTCTCGATGACTTTTTTTATTTAATTATTTATTATAAATTTTGAACCTTAGATTAGAAACACGAGAGATGGCATGATATATAAAAAAAAAGGAGAGGATCCAAATCCGTTTGGATGATTTCCATGAGATGGGACTAGAGGAAAAGTAGACAAGGAGAGCATATATGGAGGTGTAACCATCTTTATATCATGCCCAATCAACATCATAATATGCTAGAAGGGAAGACATGGTTGGTCTCTAAAGAAGAAGACCATGGAAAATGGTTATTTTGAAATATTGTATGACTCGCTTGTTGTTGGTCAATCATTGCAAGAGCTAAGCAAGTTTGTAGATGGATAATGAAATATTAGGACTTGACGCAAGTTTGTAGATGGATAATGAAATATTAGGTCTTGACATAGATATGTATTAGAAATTTTATGTTGTTGTGGTACATGGTATCTTAATGTTGGAAGAAACACCATCTTTTGTTAAGGTGATTGAGGTAGATAGTTGAGTTAGGACAACTTTGCCATCAGTCATTTTTGTTCTTTCGAGAAGCTTTACAATGTAAGAAATAATGTAAAGAGCTCATATCTTTGCAACATAAGTCGGGGGAAATTTTGGTTGTTTTCATCCGCGCGTCATATTTTGTATTAACAAAATATAACTTTTTTAAATAATTAAATTTTTGAGAAAATGGATAAACTGACCGTGTAAAAAATATTTACACTGCAACCAATCACGACCATGAATTCCATCAAGTTAGATTGTAATTTTTAAAAAATTTATATGATATGACAATACAATATATTTTTATTGGATGACAGTGTAAAATTTTACACTGTCAGTGTCAATGCATCTCCTTTAATCTCTCAATTTTTAACAAAATTTTCCAAATAATCATGTTTCTCCATTAATTTTCTAATATTAATATTTTAAATAAATTTTTTTATGCTTAGCACTGAAATAAGACGCATGTATTACACAAATTAGCAATGAAGCCAATTGAATTGGCATCTCATATAAGTCAGGTCAATCCAATTGGCGTCAGTGTATTGCTTTTAAAAGTTTCTTTTTATAATTTAAAATATTAATTTTAATATATATCATTTAGTATAAATAGAGGTGTGTTTGTTGGAATTAAATCAATTCAATATACATGCTTACCATACTATGACATATACTTTATGCGGAACCAAAATTGGTCATACAAACATGTATACAATTATATGATCCATAAATCAATTTTAGAATACTTGGATCCATTGAGAAGAACATCCTTTGATAATAATCCTAAATCCAGAAGTTTATGCCTTTTGTGGTTCTTCCTCAACCGGTACTCCTTATGCCTCGAATTCTCTTCAGATGGGGAGAAGAGATAATTTGCTGGTGTATACTAGGGACCATAGCCTATATATAGTGTGATGGCCAATTAGGGCTCCCATTATTCCCAAATGGGTCCTCCTAACATCCACTCATATTTGAGTCCATACCCAATTACTTAATTAATTAATTAATTAAATAATTCATAAATAAAATCAAATTAGCCTTTTTAACAAGATCACTTAATTATTTAATGACACTTAATTGATAAAATAGCTAATATAATAAATAAATATATTTGACCACATAATTATTGGAATATTAATATATTAGTGTATTATTAAAATATTTCAACAATCTATCACTTGGCCAATATATCTTAATGATTATATCATAATTCTTTATGCACGCATCTTAATGCTATTTTTCTTTAGATTTCAACTTTACAATCTCGTCCACCTCATACATAAATAATGAAATCACCGCGGCTGTCGTCACTAACATATAACGTGACGGAACCCCGATGACCACCATATCAACGTACTTGATGACATAGATCGATATGGATGAGTGACATGGAAATTTCATATAATATGATCTCTAAATCATGCATATTTCTAACTGGTCCTACTGGAGTCTTTAGTGAGATCAAACTGAAGTTGTGCAATTCAAAGTTACAATATTTTCACATAACAAAAAAAAACTTGATATTGTTATAACAATAATACTTCATAAGTTTTATTTCTGCAGAAAATTAAACATAACATAATGTTTGTACCAAAATAAAAACCAAAGCACAGAACGTAAAAAATTAAGGAAAATACTCCCACTAATTTAAGGCAATCTCAAAACCAAGACCCATATGAGCAACATGCCCATGAAAAGCCTTAGGTGCTAAACCTTTGGTTAATGGATCAGCTAGCATCAAGTCTGTCCCTATATGTTCTATCAAAATTTGTTTCTCCTGAACTCTTTCTTTCACAACGAGATATTTGATATCGATAAATTTTGATTTTGTAGAACTTATATTGTTGTTGGAGTATAGCACAACTGCACTATTTTCAAGGACCTTTCAATGCTCCTGTCATACCCCAAATTTGTCCTACATTTGTCAGCTTTCTCTCTGTAAGATGATCTGGTCTTTGACCATAATCTTCTGAGAATTTAGGTCATAGGATCTTGTATGCATATTCACCATGACTAACCAATTTGTGCAAATGCATTGATTTCAAGTGCAGATAGTATTTGTTCTCACAATCAAGTGCTTCAAGATGTGACCAATGGATTCTGATTCAAGATACGCTAATTGTAACACCCCTCTAATCCCCGCAATTATTTAAAATAATCAGAGTAAAATTAACATGCATTCAACCAAGGGTGTCACACTTAAAACTTTCAAACACCTGTCATGCTCATCAACACTTCAATAAATAATCATGTTTTACAATTTCAATTAGCATGTAGCAACGGATTCATTTATCCAATGATTTTTCATAAAAGAAATATTTGTTTTCATCACATAAATCAACAAGGCTCGGGCACTAAGGCCAACTTCTTAATATTTCAATAAACAAGAAAACATAGTATATTTCTAAAACATAAACCAAGCGATCCCAGTGTTACACGACCAGAGCATGACTCGACCCAACATAAATAAATTGCTAAATAGCTACACCAAAAGCGGCCTCAAGACTACAAGCAGCTCTACTCTGAAATACCTGCACGATGTCATGTAGGACATCATTCCAGCAGAAGGGTGAGAAATATTACCATAATAATCAATGCATATAATTATGTATATAAACAATCATAAAATACATATATGCCACATTTCTCACCACATTTCATATTCAATTCACACATACTTCTCAATTACCTCATCATATAAACTAACATGGTTGATCATCAAACATATTATCATGAACATAGCATACTTTCATACAACACTCACATACTCACCACTCTTAACCCAACATATCATGTATATATGCACACTTCTCCTAACAATCGCATATTCATCATTTTCAATTACACAAGTCATGTACACATACGTAAGCATAACTTTAATCAACAATTCTATCCATGCCATATGGCTCACATAAAGCCCATCAATTCCACCAATTCCCGCTCGGGATTTATGGGTACATCACTCATACCCCACCAGGAACAACACATAGTCATTCTACCCCGGTGATTGCTCCACTAGGAACGACATCATATCATTCTACCCCAGTGTTCACGAGCCTTATACGCATTCATTATTTTCAACATCATCATCATAATTTACCAAGAAATGCACATATGTTCGTAATATATTTTCATGCATTCTTCACTTAAAATTGCATACATACAACATGCATCACAATATTTATCAAGCAACACACACAATA